TTTGTCGTCACGAAGAACGTTTTAATGAGCAATGATTGAATCTTTGAATGAAATTTCCTCAACCAAAGTATCTATATGTCAGTAGACCATTTTATTGTATAAAGGTGGAAATATTGAATTACCTCAATTAAGGTACCTATTATGTCACTAGATCTTTTTCATGTATAAAGATTGAATCTTTGAAAGAATGAGAGTTGTGAGTTAAACTTATTCGAGTTCCCCTTAACGACCTGAAGAGTGTTTTAGTGAGTAAAGATTGAATCTTTGAATGAGAATACCTCAATCAAGGTACCTACTATGTCACTAACATTCTTAAGGTATAAAGATAAAAACTTTGAAGGAAAATGAGAGTTTTGAGTTAAATCTATTCAAGTTCCCTTTGACGTTCCGATTAGTGTTTTTAATGAGTAAGGCTGAATCTTTGAATGAAAATACCTCAATCAAGGTTCCTATTATGTCACCAGACGATTTTAATGTATAAAGATTAAATCTTTGAAAGAAAATGAGAGTTTTCAGTTAAACTTATTCGAGTTCCCTTTGTCGTCACAATGAGTGTTTTAAAAACTAAAAAGTGAATCTTTGAATGAAATTACCTCAGTCAAGGTACGTATATGTCACTAGACCATTTTAATGTTTAAAGATTGAAATACTGAATCTTTGAAAGAGAGTAAGAGTTTTGAGTTTAACATATTCGAGGTCCCTTTGATGTCGCGAAGAGTGGTTTTACCGCTAAAGATAGAATCTTTGTAAGAAAGTGAGAGTTTTGAGTTTAAAATATTCAGGTTCCCTGCGAGGTCGCAAAGAGTGTTTCAATGACTAAAGATTGAATCTTTGAATTAAAATGTCTCAATCAAGGAACCTATTATGTCACTTGACCTTTTTAATGAGAGTTTTGAATTAAGCTTATTAGAGTTCCTTTGACGTCCCGAAGAGTCTTGTAATGATGAAAGATTATATCTTTGAATGAAAATACCTCAATTAAGGTACCTATTATGTCAGTAGACCATTTTAATGTATAAAGATTAAGTCTTTGAAAGAAAATGTGAGTTTTGAGTTAAACTTATTCGAGTTCCCTTTGACATCACGAAGAGTGTTTTAATGAGTAAATACTGAATCTTTGAATGAAATTACATCATTCAATGGACCTATTATGTCAGTAGACCTTTTTAATGTATAAAGATTGAATCTTCGAAAGAAAATGAGAGCTTTGAGTTTAACTTATTCGAGTTCCTGATAAGGTCGAGAAGAGTGGTATTTAGTGAGTAAAGATTTTATCTTTGAATGAAACTACCTCAATAAGGGCACCTATTTTGTTACTAGACCATTTTAATGTCCAAAGATTTCTTTGAAAGAAAATAAGAGTTTTTGAGTTAAACGTATTCGAGCTCCCTTTGACGTCACAGAAGAGTGTTTAAATGAGTAAAGATGGAATCTTCGAATGAAATTACCTTAATCAAGGTTCCTATTATGTCATTAGAACTTTTTAACGTGTAAAAATTGAATCTTTGAAAGAAAATAAGAGTTTTGAGATCAACTTATTCGAGTTCCCTATGAAGTCACGGGTCAAGGCACCTATTATGTCACTAGATCTATTTATTGTATAATGATTGAATCTTTGAAAGAAAATGAGAGTTTTGAGTTCAACTTATTCGAATTCCCTTTGACATCACGAAAAGTGTTTTAATGAGTAAGGATTGAATCTTTGAATGAAATGACCTCAATCAAGGCACCTATTGTGTCACTAGACCTTTCTAATGTACAAAGATTCAATCTCTGAAAAAAACTGAGAGTTTTAAGTTTAACTTATTCGAGATCCCAATGAAGTCGCGGAGAGTGTTTTAATGAGTAAAGAATGAATCTTTGAATGAAAATACCTCAATCAAGGTACCTATTATGTCACTAGCCCATTTCAATGTATAAAGAATAAATCTTTGAAAGAAAATGAGAGTTTTCAGTTAAAATTATTTGAGTTCCCTTTGACGACACGAAGAGTGTTTTAATGAGTAAAGATAGAATCTTTGAATGAAATTACCCTGATCATGGTACCTATTATGTCACTAGACCGTTTTAATGTATTAAGATTGAATCTTTGAAAGAAAATGAGAGTTTAGAATTTAGCTTATTCGAGTTCCCTTTGAAGTCGCGAAGAGTGTTTTTATGACTAAAGATTGAATCTCTGAATGAAAATACCTCAATCAAGGTACCTATTACGTCACTGGACCATTTTAATTTGCAAAGTTTAAATCTTCGATTGAAAATGCGAGTTTTGAGTTAAACTTATTCGAGTTCCCTTTGTCGTCACGAAGAGTGTTTTAATGAGTAAAGATTGATTCCTCGAATGAAATTACCTCAATCACGGTACCTATTATGTCACTAGACCTTTTTAATGTATCAAGATTGGATCTTCGAAAGAAAAGGAGAGTTGTGAGTTAAACTTATTCGAGTTCCCTTTGACGTCCTGAAGAGTGTTTTAATGAGTAAAGATTGAATCTTTGAATGAAAATACCTCAATCAAGGTACCTATTATGTCACTAGACCATTTTGATGTTTAAAGATTAAATCTTTGAAAAAAATGCGAGTTTTGAGTTAAACTTATACGAGTTCCCTTTGTCGTCACGAAGAACGTTTTAATGAGCAATGATTGAATCTTTGAATGAAATTTCCTCAACCAAAGTATCTATATGTCAGTAGACCATTTTATTGTATAAAGGTGGAAATATTGAATTACCTCAATTAAGGTACCTATTATGTCACTAGATCTTTTTCATGTATAAAGATTGAATCTTTGAAAGAATGAGAGTTGTGAGTTAAACTTATTCGAGTTCCCCTTAACGACCTGAAGAGTGTTTTAGTGAGTAAAGATTGAATCTTTGAATGAGAATACCTCAATCAAGGTACCTACTATGTCACTAACATTCTTAAGGTATAAAGATAAAAACTTTGAAGGAAAATGAGAGTTTTGAGTTAAATCTATTCAAGTTCCCTTTGACGTTCCGATTAGTGTTTTTAATGAGTAAGGCTGAATCTTTGAATGAAAATACCTCAATCAAGGTTCCTATTATGTCAACAGACGATTTTAATGTATAAAGATTAAATCTTTGAAAGAAAATGAGAGTTTTCAGTTAAACTTATTCGAGTTCCCTTTGTCGTCACAATGAGTGTTTTAATAACTAAAAAGTGAATCTTTGAATGAAATTACCTCAGTCAAGGTACGTATATGTCACTAGACCATTTTAATGTTTAAAGATTGAAATACTGAATCTTTGAAAGAGAGTTAGAGTTTTGAGTATAACATATTCGAGGTCCCTTTGAAGTCGCGAAGAGTGGTTTTACCGCTAAAGATAGAATCTTTGTAAGAAAGTGAGAGTTTTGAGTCTAAAATATTCAGGTTCCCTGCGAAGTCGCAAAGAGTGTTTCAATGACTAAAGATTGAATCTTTGAATTAAAATGTCTCAATCAAGGAACCTATTATGTCACTTGACCTTTTTAATGAGAGTTTTGAATTAAGCTTATTAGAGTTCCTTTGACGTCCCGAAGAGTCTTGTAATGATGAAAGATTATATCTTTGAATGAAAATACCTCAATTAAGGTACCTATTATGTCAGTAGACCATTTTAATGTATAAAGATTAAGTCTTTGAAAGAAAATGTGAGTTTTGAGTTAAACTTATTCGAGTTCCCTTTGACATCACGAAGAGTGTTTTAATGAGTAAATACTGAATCTTTGAATGAAATTACATCATTCAATGGACCTATTATGTCAGTAGACCTTTTTAATGTATAAAGATTGAATCTTCGAAAGAAAATGAGAGCTTTGAGTTTAACTTATTCGAGTTCCCGATAAGGTCGAGAAGAGTGGTATTTAGTGAGTAAAGATTGTATCTTTGAATGAAACTACCTCAATAAGGGCACCTATTTTGTTACTAGACCAATTTAATGTCCAAAGATTTCTTTGAAAGAAAATAAGAGTTTTTGAGTTAAACGTATTCGAGCTCCCTTTGACGTCACAGAAGAGTGTTTTAATGAGTAAAGATGGAATCTTCGAATGAAATTACCTTAATCAAGGTTCCTATTATATCATTAGAAATTTTTAACGTGTAAAAATTGAATCTTTGAAAGAAAATAAGAGTTTTGAGATCAACTTATTCGAGTTCCCTATGAAGTCACGGGTCAAGGCACCTATTATGTCACTAGATCTATTTATTGTATAATGATTGAATCTTTGAAAGAAAATGAGAGTTTTGAGTTCAACTTATTCGAGTTCCCTTTGACATCACGAAAAGTGTTTTAATGAGTAAAGATTGAATCTTTGAATGAAATGACCTCAATCAAGGCACCTATTGTGTCACTAGACCTTTCTAATGTACAAAGATTCAATATCTGAAAAAAACTGAGAGTTTTAAGTTTAACTTATTCGAGATCCCAATGAAGTCACGGAGAGTGTTTTAATGAGTAAAGAATGAATCTTTCAATGAAAATACCTCAATCAAGGTACCTATTATGTCACTAGCCCATTTCAATGTATAAAGAATAAATCTTTGAAAGAAAATGAGAGTTTTCAGTTAAAATTATTTGAGTTCCCTTTGACGACACGAAGAGTGTTTTAATGAGTAAAGATAGAATCTTTGAATGAAATTACCCTGATCATGGTTCCTACTGATGTCACTAGACCGTTTTAATGTATTAAGATTGAATCTTTGAAAGAAAATGAGAGTTTAGAATTTAGCTTATTCGAGTTCCCTTTGAAGTCGCGAAGAGTGTTTTTATGACTAAAGATTGAATCCCTGAATGAAAATACCTCAATCAAGGTACCTATTATGACACACCCCAACCCAATTTACATTATTAAACAAATTGAATAAATTGGAATGCATCTAACCATCTGCATTAACCCCCTTCAAATATAACGTCATCCTACATCAGAGCACCTGTTTAACAGTTTACAATTCAAAAACTACCTATAGGCTTGTTATGGAAATTCTGACAAACAAAAAATATTAACGGCAACTTATACTATTAAATTCTATTACAATATTTACATATTAAACAAAAGACGTTCCATTGTTCTTTTTCCCATTCCCACTCAAAAATTCTAGACCTGGCAGTAGCGACCCAACCTTGTACCTGAAAAAAATATAGATATGGAAGGAGTGAGCTTAAAGCCCAGTGAATGCAACACTACTACATCAGAGTAATTTTAAACAACTATTATCTGATAGCTTCAATAAAACTTCATTAACATATTACATGCATTAAACTATAGTACTCTCTTTCTAGGCCAGAGTATAGACCTTATATATTATAGTACTCTCCTTCTAGGCCAGAGTATGGACCTTATTTAAATATGGTACTCTCTTTCCAGGCCAGAGTATGGACCTCATTTAAAGTACTCTCTTTCCAGGCCAGAGTATGGACCTTATATATATATATATATAGATGTATCTTCATTTCACATAAATGACTTCAATACTTCAATTTAACACATTCAAGTGTAAAACTTTCAGTGAATACACTCACCTTGACTACTTCCCAATTTATTCACTTATCCTTTGATAGGGTCGAAGTTGTTTGCTCTTTCTCCTTGCCTGAACAATAGTATAACTATGTCATATTCATTTCTAAATATAATTGAATGACAATTATCAACTTCATAACAAATCCCAATTCCACACACAATTATAGTAGAAAGTATAACAAGAATAATTATATTAACTTCAGCTCCACAATTTCTTCAACTAACAAGTACTTAAATTTAAATATTATAGTACTGGAATCAAGTAAAATAAATAAAATAGATGTAATTGTAGGTAGAACCATTTAACCAAATTGTCCATGGAAATACCACACAATAAACCTTCAATAGAAAAATTCTCTATCTTTAATACTGATAACCACAATTCCAAATAGAAATTTCGCCTCCTTCCTTTTACATTTTTTTCTTCTCTCTTTCTTGCTCTTTTCTTCTCTTTCCTCCTCACTCTCTCTCCAGCCCCTTCATCCCATGGGTTTCGTCTTTTGACTAATTTTTATGGGTTCAATACAATGGCTACAGAAACTAAAATTTTGTTTTCTCATATACAACTTTTCACCCAAAGCTTGCAAAACCCACTACTCAATCTCATCCTTGACAATAATAATAATAATTAAATATATATTAAAGTTATCAATATATATAAATTTACACATACCCAACCAAATTTGTATTTCTTCATAGAAAACCACTCAATCAAGGATAGAAACAATTAAATTTAAAATATCATCAAAATGAATTAAATAGCTCAACTTGTGAAGAATAATAAACATATATATATAAATCAACTTCCATGTAAACAAAGATATGAATATCTCTACCTTTACCATAATCTAGTGAAAAATTCTCTTTTCCCTCTTTTCTATCTTCCTCTTCTTCTCCGTCTTTTCTTCTTCTACGGCTGAAAAATCCCTCCTTTGTTTCTATTTGTATTTTTATTTTTTTTCTTTTTCTTGTCCATGCAAATCTCTAGACAACGTGTCGCTTAGATATAAATGTGATTTTCCCCTCTTCATGACTCATGCGTGTGTGTGTCAATTAGTAACAGCCTCCTTTGGAAGCTTTTAGAATAAAGTGTATTACTAGATATCTACATACATGGGTGGGTGGAATATGTACTTGACCTGGTCAATAACTTACCCATATATATAAATAAATACTTGGTCAAACTTTAAAATAAAACATAAGTATATCAATATATATTAGAACCATCACACCACTTCCACCATTTATTACCTTCAGCACCAATGACCTTAGTAGACACCCATTCTCTAGTATCACACATATAACCACACACACGTACACATGGAATATTATCATTTTTATTATTTATTTTCTTACCATTGGCTGTCACCAACTTAATAAGTTTTGACACCAACTATTAACTTCACCATACAAACTACTACATAAAATATTCCATAAATTATGTCTAATAAAAATTAAATTATGCTAATAAAAATAATTATGTATTGGGGCCTTACAATTCTTCCCCCCTTAAGTAATTTCGTCCTCGAAATTAAAATGCAAGAAACATACCAAATAAGTGAGGATATTGCATTCGCATAACTTCTTCACTTTCCCAAGTCGCTTCTTCAATCGTATGACCCCTCCACAATACCTTTACCAGTAATATAGTTTTATTCTGTAGCACTTGCTCCCGGCGATCCACAATCTGTACCGGTTCCTCTACATAAGTCAAATCTTCCTTCAACTCTATCGGTTCTGCAACTAAACCATGAGATGGATCCGATATATACTTTCGAAGCATAGACACATGGAAAACATCATGCAATCTTGATAATTCTTTTGGTAATTCCAACCGATACGCCACTGCTCCTATTCGTTCCAGAATCTTGTAAGGTCCAATGTATCTGGGACTTAACTTACCTTTCTTTCCAAACCTCATAATACCTTTCCAAGGAGAAATACGAAGAAAAACAAAATCACCAACTTCAAATTCCAAATCTCTTCTTTTTCGCACATCTACATAACTTTTCTGTCTATCCTGTGCCACTTTCATACGCTGCTGAATTATCTTCACTTTTTCTGTTGTAAGTTCAATCAATTCTGGACCCAATAACTTTCCTTCCCCCACCTCATCCCAACACAATGGAGTTCTACATTTTCTCCCATACAAAGCTTCATACGGTGCCATTCCAATAGTAGACTGATAACTATTATTATAGGCAAATTCAATCAACGGTAAATAATCATCCCAATTACCTTTGAAATCCAACACACAAGCTCTCAACATATCTTCCAAAATCTGAATAGTTCGTTCTGACTGCCCATCTGTCTGCAGGTGAAAAGCTGTACTAAACTTCAGAGAAGTTTTCATGGCTTCATGCAAACTATACCAAAATCTCGAAGTGAACTTCGGATCCCTGTCACAAACAATAGAAACTGGAGCCCCATGCAAACATATGATCACATCAACATACAAACGAGCATATTCCTTTGTAGAATAAGTAGTTTTTACTGCCAGAAAGTGAGCTGATTTCGTCAATCGATCAACTATCACCCAAATAGAGTCATGTCCTCGTTTTGATCTTGGAAGTCCCGTCACAAAATCCATGGTTACATGCTCCCATTTCCACTGTGGAACTGGTAATGGCTGCAACAACCCCGCTGGTTTCTGATGTTCAGCTTTCACTCGTTGACATATCAAACACTTTGCTACAAATTCTGCAATTTCACGCTTCATATTGTTCCACCAATAGTATTCTTTCAAATCCCTGTACATTTTAGTACTCCCCGGATGCATAGCATATATAGAACTGTGGGCTTCATCTAAAATATCTTTCTTCAAGGAAACATCATTTGGAACACAAATTCGACTTTTAAAATACAAAATCCCATCATCCCTAACTATAAATTCAGTTTGCATACCTTCTTGAGCTTCTTTTCTTTTCTTATCTAGGAATACGTCATGTATTTGCAGCTCTTTAATTCTATCCAGCAACAAAGGTCTCACCGTGACATGTGCAAACAATGCTCCTTTGTTAGTAACTGTCAATTCAACTCCCATCAGTCTCAATTCCATAACATTTGCCACCCGTGTACACTGTACACAAGATAGTCTCCCTGAAGACTTCCTACTCAAGGCATCTGCTACTACATTGGCTTTTCCAGGATGATGGTGGATATTACAATCATAATCTTTGATTAACTCCATCCAACGCCTCTGTCTCAAATTTAAATCCTTCTGTGTAAACAAATACTTCAAACTCTGATGATCTGTAAATATTTCACAAAGTTCACCATACAGATAATGCCTCCACAATTTTAAAGTAAAAATAATAACAGCTAACTCCAAGTCATGTGTAGGATAATTCAATTCATGATTCTTCAATTGTCTAGAAGCATATGCAATTACTTTACCATTTTGCATCAAAACACCTCCCAGACCCTGATGTGAAGCATCAGTGTAAATCACAAAACCTTCACCACCACACGGAATAGTTAACACTGGGGCTGACGTTAACTTTTTCTTCAATTCTTCAAAACTTCTTTGGCATTCCTCACCCCACACAAACTTTACTTCTTTCCGGGTCAACTTTGTCAATGGTAATGCGATACTAGAAAACCCTTGGATGAACCTCCGGTAATAACCTGCTAATCCCAGAAAACTTCTGACTTCTGTCACATTAGTAGGCCTTTCCCATTTCACCACTGCTTCCACTTTTGATGGGTCAACATAAATACCATCCCCAGATACTACATGCCCCAAAAGACAACTTTATCAAGCCAAAACTCACATTTGCTGAACTTAGCAAAGAGTTGTTTTTCCCGTAACATCTGTAACACAATTCTTAAATGCTTTTCATGTTCATCCACACTCCGAGAATATATCAAAATATCATCGATGAAGACAATAACAAAAGAATCAACGTACCGATGAAATACTCGATTCATTAAATCCATAAACACCGCTGGAGCATTGGTTAACCCAAAAGGCATTACCAAAAACTCATAATGACCATATCGAGTTCGAAAAGCAGTTTTCGAAATATCACTATCCTTTACCTTCAACTGGTGATATCCTGACCTCAAATCAATCTTAGAAAACACCTTTGCCCCTTGCAACTGATCAAACAGATCATCAATTCGTGGCAATGGATACTTATTTCTGATGGTCACTTTATTTAACTGTCTGTAGTCAATACACAACCGCATAGTACCATCCTTCTTCTTCACAAATAACACCGGTGCACCCCACGGTGAAATACTAGGTCAAATGAAGCCTTTATCTAGTAAATCTTGCAACTGTATCTTCAACTCTTTCAATTCTATCGGTGCCATTCGATACGGAGCAATAGAAATTGGAGTTGTTCCTGGTACCAACTCAATGGTAAAATCTACCTCCCTGTCCACTGGCAACCCTGGTAATTCTTCTGGAAACACATCTGTGAATTCCCTTACCACTGGTACATTTTCAAGTGTCATATCTTTATTTTCAGTATCAACCACATAAGCCAAGTAACCCTGACACCCTTTCTTCAACAACTTCCTGGTTTGTATAGCTGAAATGAGACAGTTTGGAATAACATTTCTTTCTCCTGTAAATCTAAATTCTGGCTCCCCTGGTATCTGAAAAACAACTTCTTTCCGAAAACAGTCTATTGAAGCATGATACGCAGATAGCCAATTCATACCCAAAATGATATCAAAATCTGGAATACCCAACGGTATCAAATTTACCTTTAACTGTCTATCTCCCAATTGTAACACACAATCCCGGTATTCATTTGCAACCACTACCACTTCTCCCATTGGTGTAGAAATAAACAATTTACTGTCTAATGATGAAAGTGGTCTACCCAAATGCATAGCAATAGATGATGCAACAAATGAATGGGTTGAGCCAGGATCAATAAGCACAGTAACATTTCTATCCAAAATAGAAAGTGTACCTGTCACCACTTCTGGTGTTGCTTGAGCATCCTGAAGTGTCATAGCAAACACTCTTCCCTGGGCTTGCGAACCACTTGTAACACCCTTACCTCCTCTTGACGAGTTCCCCTGTGCAAAACCTCTACCAGAACCAGCAACACTGCCCACTGAGGTCATTCCTGTCAACATAGGACAATCTCTCCTCCGATGACCCGGCTGATGGCAATGATAGCACTCTTCTGCTTTCAAGATAGGACAATCCTTCTTCTGGTGACCTTCCTTTCCGCACTGAAAACACCCCCTGCCAGTACCACGTCCTCCAAAACTACCTTGTTGTACAGATTGTTGTTCGGAAAACCCTTGACCTCTTCCAATACTTGATGTCTGGCCTTGAGATTCACCACCCCTTCCCCTTCCATACCGCGACCTTTGACTTTTCTGACTTGCAATTCCTTCACCTCCTCTTGACTGTGACGGCTCAGATCTATTTCTTTTGTATTGTTCCCTTCTTTCTTGCAATTCTTTCACATCCCTTTCGGCAATCATGGCTTTATTCACAAGTCTGTTGTAATTTGTTTCCTCAAACACTGAAACTCTAGACTTAATAGCCGCCTCTAAACCATCCTGGAATTTTGTACATTTATCTTCTTCATTCTGTACAAACTTGGGTGCGAACCTCGATAAAGCTGTAAACTTAACTTCATAGTCAACCACAGACATTCTATCTTGTTTTAGGAGAATAAACTCCCGTTCCTTCTCTTTTCTGTAAATTGGAGGGAAATATTTCTCATAAAAAGCTTTAACAAATGGATTCCAGAATATCACTTCTTTCTCTCCTGGAGTGAGCAACAAATGTTTTGTCGTGTCCCACCAATAACTAGCTTCATTTTTGAACATAAATGTAGCTAAGTTTACCTTCTGGTCTTCTGCTGCACCCATCACTACAAATATCGATTCCATTCTTCTTACCCACCCCTCTGCTTCTTCTGGTTTGGTAGTACCTAAAAATTCTAGGGGTGTTAACTTGATAAACCTCTCATACTCAGAGCCTTTCTTCCATTTCTGTTGTCTTTCCAGCCTTTCTTGTATCATCATTTGACTCGCCATAAATAGTTTGTTTTGTTCTGCCAAGTCTATTATAGCCTTTTCCATTTTCTGCATACCAGTTAAGCACTCCTGTTCTCTTCTCATACCACCCTGCATAGGTTGTTCTACTTCAGCCTCAACAGGAACATAAGTGGCTTCACCCTCAGTTCCATGATAACCACTTTCCCTTTCCATTTCTTTTTATCTGCAATGAATCTCAAATATAACAATATATATATGATACATAATCACCACTTATATCTGTTAGTATAACATTAAGTCAAATAAATGACTCTACTACACACTTCTTACTGCCACTGCCAGTCTAGACTCTTGTGACCTCCAGAACCTAGAAAACCTAGGCTCTGATACCAAAAGTTAACACACCCCAACCCAATTTACATTATTAAACAAATTGAATAAATTGGAATGCATCTAACCATCTGCATTAACCTCCTTCAAATATAACGTCATCCTATATCAGAGCACCTGTTTAACAGTTTATAATTCAAAAACTACCTATAGGCCTGTTATGGAAATTCTGACAAACAAAAAATATTAACGGCAACTTATACCATTAAATTCTATTACAATATTTACATATTAAACAAAAGACGTTCCATTGTTCTTTTTCCCATTCCCACTCAAAAATTCTAGACCTGGCAGTAGCGACCCAACCTTGTACCTGAAAAAAATATAGATATGGAAGGAGTGAGCTTAAAGCCCAGTGAATGCAACACTACTACATCAGAGTAATTTTAAACAACTATTATCTGATAGCTTCAATAAAACTTCATTAACATATTACATGCATACTCTCTTTCTAGGCCAGAGTATGGACCTTATATATTATAGTACTCTCCTTCTAGGCCAGAGTATGGACCTTATTTAAATATGGTACTCTCTTTCCAGGCCAGAGTATGGACCTCATTTAAAATACTCTCTTTCCAGGCCAGAGTATGGACCTTATATATATATATATATATAGATGTATCTTCATTTCACATAAATGACTTCAATACTTCAATTTAACACATTCAAGTGTAAAACTTTCAGTGAATACACTCACCTTGACTACTTCCCAATTTATTCACTTATCCTTTGATAGGGTCGAAGTTGTTTGCTCTTTCTCCTTGCCTGAACAATAGTATAACTATGTCATATTCATTTCTAAATATAATTGAATGACAATTATCAACTTCATAACAAATCCCAATTCCACACACAATTATAGTAGAAAGTATAACAAGAATAATTATATTAACTTCAGCTCCACAATTTCTTCAACTAACAAGTACTTAAATTTAAATATTATAGTACTGGAATCAAGTAAAATAAATAAAATAGATGTAATTGTAGGTAAAACCATTTAACCAAATTGTCCATGGAAATACCACACAATAAACCTTCAATAGAAAAATTCTCTATCTTTAACACTGATAACCACAATTCCAAATAGAAATCTCGCCTCCTTCCTTTTACATTTTTTTCTTCTCTCTTTCTTGCTCTTTTCTTCTCTTTCCTCCTCACTCTCTCTCCAGCCCCTTCATCCCATGGGTTTCGTCTTTTGACTAATTTTTATGGGTTCAATACAATGGCTACAGAAACTAAAATTTTGTTTTCTCATATACAACTTTTCACCCAAAGCTCGCAAAACCCACTACTCAATCTCATCCTTGACAATAATAATAATAATTAAATGTATATTAAAGTTATCAATATATATAAATTTACACATACCCAACCAAATTTGTATTTCTTCATAGAAAACCACTCAATCAAGGATAGAAACAATTAAATTTAAAATATCATCAAAATGAATTAAATAGCTCAACTTGTGAAGAATAATAAACATATATATATAAATCAACTTCCATGTAAACAAAGATATGAATTCCTTTACCTTTACCATAATCTAGTGAAAAATTCTTTTTTCCCTCTTTTCTATCTTCCTCTTCTTCTCCGTCTTTTCTTCTTCTACGGCTGAAAAATCCCTCCTTTGTTTCTATTTGTATTTTTATTTTTTTTCTTTTTCTTGTCCATGCAAATCTCTAGACAACGTGTCGCTTAGATATAAATGTGATTTTCCCCTCTTCATGACTCATGCGTGTGTGTGTCAATTAGTAACAGCCTCCTTTGGAAGCATTTAGAATAAAGTGTATTACTAGATATCTACATACATGGGTGGGTGGAATATGTGCTTGACCTGGTCAATAACTTACCCATATATATAAATAAATACTTGGTCAAACTTTAAAATAAAACATAAGTATATCAATAAATATTAGAACCATCACACCACTTCCACCATTTATTACCTTCAGCACCAATGACCTTAGTAGACACCCATTCTCTAGTATCACACATATAACCACACACACGTACACATGGAATATTATCATTTTTATTATTTATTTTCTTACCATTGGCTGTCACCAACTTAATAAGTTTTGACACCAACTATTAACTTCACCATACAAACTACTACATAAAATATTCCATAAATTATGTCTAATAAAAATTAAATTATGCTAATAAAAATAATTATGTATTGGGGCCTTACATATTATGTCACTGGACCATTTTAATTTGCAAAGTTTAAATCTTCGATTGAAAATGCGAGTTTTGAGTTAAACTTATTCGAGTTCCCTTTGTCGTCACGAAGAGTGTTTTAATGAGTAAAGATTGATTCCTTGAATGAAATTACCTCAATCACGGTACCTATTATGTCACTAGACCTTTTTAATGTATCAAGATTGGATCTTCGAAAGAAAAGGAGAGTTGTGAGTTAAACTTATTCGAGTTCCCTTTGACGTCCTGAAGAGTGTTTTAATGAGTAAAGATTGAATCTTTGAATGAAAATACCTCAATCAAGGTACCTATTATGTCACTCGACCATTTTGATGTTTAAAGATTAAATCTTTGAAAAAAATGCGAGTTTTGAGTTAAACTTATTCGAGTTCCCTTTGTCGTCACGAAGAGCGTTTTAATGAGCAATGATTGAATCTTTGAATGAAATTTCCTCAACCAAAGATCTATATGTCAGTAGACCATTTTATTGTATAAAGGTGGAAATATTGAATTACCTCAATCAAGGTACCTATTATGTCACTAGATCTTTTTCATGTATAAAGATTGAATCTTTGAAAGAATGAGAGTTGTGAGTTAAACTTATTCGAGTTCCCCTTAACGACCTGAAGAGTGTTTTAGTTAGTAAAGATTGAATCTTTGAATGAGAATACCTCAATCAAGGTACCTACTATGTCACTAACATTCTTAAGGTATAAAGATAAAAACTTTGAAAGAAAATGAGAGTTTTGAGTTAAATCTATTCAAGTTCCCTTTGACGTTCTGATTAGTGTTTTAATGAGTAAGGCTGAATCTTTGAATGAAAATACCTCAATCAAGGTTCCTATTATGTCACCAGACGATTTTAATGTATAAAGATTAAATCTTTGAAAGAAAATGAGAGTTTTTAGTTAAACTTATTCGAGTTCCCTTTGTCGTCACAATGAGTGTTTTAATAACTAAAAAGTGAATCTTTGAATGAAATTACCTCAGTCAAGGTACGTATATGTCACTAGACCATTTTAAAGTTTAAAAATTGAAATACTGAATCTTTGAAAGAGAGTTAGAGTTTTGAGTTTAACATATTCGAGGTCCCTTTGACGTCGCGAAGAGTGGTTTTACCGCTAAAGATAGAATCTTTGTAAGAAAGTGAGAGTTTTGAGTTTAAAATATTCAGGTTCCCTGCGAAGTCGCAAAGAGTGTTTCAATGACTAAAGATTGAATCTTTGAATTAAAATGTCTCAATCAAGGAACCTATTATGTCACTTGACCTTTTTAATGAGAGTTTTGAATTAAGCTTATTAGAGTTCCTTTGACGTCCCGAAGAGTCTTGTAATGATGAAAGATTATATCTTTGAATGAAAATACCTCAATTAAGGTACCTATTATGTCAGTAGACCATTTTAATGTATAAAGATTAAGTCTTTGAAAGAAAATGTGAGTTTTGAGTTAAACTTATTCGAGTTCCCTTTGACATCACGAAGAGTGTTTTAATGAGTAAATACTGAATCTTTGAATGAAATTACATCATTCAATGGACCTATTATGTCAGTAGACCTTTTTAATGTATAAAGATTGAATCTTCGAAAGAAAATGAGAGCTTTGAGTTTAACTTATTCGAGTTCCCGATAAGGTCGAGAAGAGTGCTTTTTAGTGAGTAAAGATTGTATCTTTGAATGAAACTACCTCAATAAGGGCACCTATTTTGTTACTAGACCATTTTAATGTCCAAAGATTTCTTTGAAAGAAAATAAGAGTTTTTGAGTTAAACGTATTCGAGTTCCCTTTGACGTCACAGAAGAGTGTTTTAATGAGTAAAGATGGAATCTTCGAATGAAATTACCTTAATCAAGGTTCCTATTATGTCATTAGAACTTTTTAACGTGTAAAAATTGAATCTTTGAAAGAAAATAAGAGTTTTGAGATCAACTTATTCGAGTTCCCTATGAAGTCACGGGTCAAGGCACCTATTATGTCACTAGATCTATTTATTGTATAATGATTGAATCTTTGAAAGAAAATGAGAGTTTTGAGTTCAACTTATTCGAGTTCCCTTTGACATCACGAAAAGTGTTTTAATGAGTAAAGATTGAATCTTTGAATGAAATGACCTCAATCAAGGCACCTATTGTGTCACTAGACCTTTCTAATGTACAAAGATTCAATCTCTGAAAAAAACTGAGAGTTGTAAGTTTAACTTATTCGAGATCCCTATGAAGTCGCGGAGAGTGTTTTAATGAGTAAAGAATAAATCTTTGAATGAAAATACCTCAATCAAGGTACCTATTATGTCACTAGCCCATTTCAATGTATAAAGAATAAATCTTTGAAAGAAAATGAGAGTTTTCAGTTAAAATTATTTGAGTTCCCTTTGACGACACGAAGAGTGTTTTTATGAGTAAAGATAGAATCTTTGAATGAAATTACCCTGATCATGCTACCTATTATGTCACTAGACCGTTTTAATGTATTAAGATTGAATCTTTTAAAGAAAATGAGAGTTTAGAATTTAGCTTATTCGAGTTCCCTTTGAAGTCGCGAAGAGTGTTTTTATGACTAAAGATTGAATCTCTGAATGAAAATACCTCAATCAAGGTACCTGTTATGTCACTGGACCATTTTAATTT